TATGTTTACATAAATGGAAATATTCATTCTTTTATATATGTACTAGAGGCCCAGTACATGGGAATCGTGCACTGGTGGGGGGCGTGGCCTGCAGGGATCAGCCACTGTGGGAGCACCACTGTTCATCCCAGTCAGCTGAGTGGCTGTGGACCCACCCTCTGAGCGGCTACTCCCTGGTCCGGCATCTTCTGTGGAGCTGGAGCACTTGCCTCTCCAGGCGACCCAGTAGGAGCTGGGCCCAGGGACAGTGGCACTGAGAGATGGCAGAGTAGGCCTCAGTCCTGTGGCAGCCATGAACCCGCTTCCAAGCCTCCAGGGTCAGCTCTGCGAGCCTGGCGGCAGCACTGCACAACCTGCAGGCGTCCAGAGGAGGCATCAGGGAGCGAGGAGGAGGAGGAGCCTGGAGCAAGGAGGCCTGGGTTCCTGCCCATTGGCCCAGGGTTTTCGGTGGGAGCAGCTGTTCATCCCAGTCAGCCAAGTGGTGCTCCCACTGTGGTAGCTCACTGACTACCAGGGGGCAGCTCCTGTGTTGAGCGTCTTCCCCTGGTGGTCAAGGTGCGTCATAGCGACTGATCGACCAGTCGTTCTGGTTCTGCGGTTTGGTTGCTGGGCTTTTATTATATAGGATATACACACACACATATATACATACACATATTCACACTTATACCACAATTTTTAATTTTGTTTCAGAGAGGAAGGGAAAGGGAGAGAGAGATAGAAGCATTAATGATGAGAGAGAATCATTGATGGGCTGCCTCCTGCATGCCTCCTGGAGATCAAGCCATCAACCTGGGCAAACCAGGCAGGGCTATACCATAATTTCTTTACCAATTTATCCATTGATGGACACTTACGTTGTTTCCATATCTTGGCTAGTATCCAGTCAAGGGCGCATGCCTGGGTTTTGGGCTTGGTCCCCAGTAGGGGGCATGCAGGAGTCAGCCGATCAATGAGTCTCACTCATTGATGTTTCTCTCTCTCTCTCTCTCTCTCCCTCTCTCTCTCTCTCTCTCTCTCTCTATCCCTTCCTCCCTGTAAAAAAATCAATAAAATATATATTTTTAAAAAGTAATGCTGCAATGAACATGGGGGTGCATCACATATCTTTTCAATTTACTGTGTTTATTTTCTTTGGATAAATACCCAGAAGTGGAATTGCTGCATCATATGGTAAATCTATTTTGAATTTTTGAGGAACCTCCATACTGTTTTCCATGTTGGTTGCACCAATTTACATTCCCACCAACGGTCCACAAAGGTTCCCTTTTCTTTACATCCTCACCAATACTTGTTATTTCTGTTGTCTTTTAAAAAAATATATTTTTATTGATTTTTAGAGAGAGGAACATCGATGTGAAAGGGAAGCAGGATCAGCTGCCTCCTACACACCCCCTACTGGGGATGTGGCCTACAACCTGAGCATGTGCCCTGTCCTGGAATCGAACCAACAACCTTTGAGTGCACAGGATGACGCCCAACCTACTGAGCCACACAGGCCAGGCTGTTATTTCTTTTTGATAATAGCCATTCTAACAGGTGTGAGGTAATAATCTAAAATATTTTTCTTAAGCAGCTTAAATATATGGGTTTTGCCTTTTTAAAATTCAGGCTGTTTGCCTTTTGCCTTTTACATGTTTTGTGTGTTTTTTTTGTAATTAAGGCGTTATATTCGCTGCTGAAACACACCTACATGTCTGCTAGAAATGTGGCTGTAAAAAAAAATCTATGTGTATAAAAAATTTACACTGTAGCAAGCTGACCTCCACCTTTTATTTACTAAAGCCACCATCTTAGCGCCAAGAACACATTTCCAACTTCCTCCGAGACTTCAACACCTGGATGTCCCACAGCTACCTTAAATAAAATGTATTCAGAATTCAGCTCATTACCTTCTCTCTCAACTTCTAATATTTTAAATCTCAGTGAATGCATCATATCAGCAGTTGCCAATGCTATAAACTTCCAAGTTTCCATAATTGCTTCCCTTACCCTCACTCAGCTCTCCAATTCTAATCCAAGGCAATAGCAAATACATACATTTTTCTTCCCTTAGTTATATCACACATCTCCCACTCTTTTTATTTTAATTCTCACCTGAGGATATTTTTTCCGTTGATTTTTACAGAAAGTGGAAGGGAGGGCCCAGGGGAGGAGAGAGAGAAAGAGAAAGAGAGAGCAACACATCAGTGTGAGAGAGACACAGTAATTGGTTGCCTCATCAAACTTGCAACCCAGGTACATGCCCTTGACCTGGAATCAAACCTGAGACCCTTTGATATAAGGGCCAGTGCTTTAACCACTTAGCACACCGGCCAGGGCTATGTGGTTTTTAGACCTTTAATGTAATTACTGGTGATGGTAGGTTACCGTATTTGCCGGCGTATAAGACGACTGGGCGTATC